GACTTAATCAAATTTCAATTCATTCCCTTCATCCTACAAAGCACTGTACTGAAAAGGTATCAGAATTGGTGGTCAGCAAATATGGAGGTGTTCCTAGCAATACCTCCCAAAGACCTGCTAGTGGGACTGGACTTGCCTTCTCAGACGCAACCTATGGGGATTAGGCTCATCACTTATTCTACAGCTCCTGTCATCTCAGTTTCTGCTCCTGCTACTATAAAGAGAGCTCATTCTGCCTCTCCTCCTTCTCCTAGAGTTATTAGGGCTGCTCCGAAGAAAGGCATGTATTCTTTATCTTTCTTTTTCTTTCTCCTTATAATGCTTAATTCTTTTATTTATAGCTTTCTTTTTATGCAGGCGCTTCACAAGTAGAGTCTCCTCAAAAGGCTCAAGCCCTAAACATTCTTAAAGATAACAACAACAGCAAAAGAAGAGAAAACTTGTGCTTAGTCTTGAAGAGGAGGAAGTAGCTGAAGAAGAGGAGGAAAAAATAGAAAAAGAGAAAGAGATACTACTGAAAACAAAGAAAAAAATGACAGTTTCTCCCTCTGACCTTATTGGGGACTCTACTCATGAAGCAGCTGCCAAAGCAGTAGAAGAGGAGCACTCTAAAGAAATTATTATATTTCAGAGGTCAGAGAAAAGGAGACAACAACAAGTACTAAGGGACGAAGCTGCTGCTGCTGATGCACTCTAAAGAGAAACTGCAAGGAGGCAACAAACTGCTGAACATTATACCCTTCGCAGTTCTCCAACCATTGCTACCACTTTGAAACTGGTAATTTCCTTTTGTGTCTCTAGTTTCCTTTCTCAAGTTTTCAATACTGAAACTTAACATTGTTTCATATTTCTTATTCTGCAGCAACAGTTACTCTACCTCCTCCTTCGATAAGGGTTTCTTCAGTCTTTTCTGAAGTTGAAAGACCATTAGAAATACCATCGAAAATGAGGAAGAAAATCGACACTAAAGTGCCTTTAAGTGTAGAGCCCATTCAGGCAATACTCTCACTTCTTGATTCTACACTTTTCACACCTTTTTCAAGGCAAAGCATTCCTATGCCTTTATCTTTTGGCTTAACTCCATATCTTCCTCATCTAACCTTTAACTCAACCCAATTTACTCTCCTTACAATCCTTGCTGCTCCTTTCCCTCCTGAGGAGATCCCAGTTATTACTTCATCTCCAGTGATAGCTAATTCTCCCAAAGAAGATACTGGTAGCTCACCAATTCTTTGTCCACCATCACTATCCAGCTCCAGCCCTTCTTCTCTTGACTTACTGGTGGTCAGGACTTTGGAAACTGAAAGGGACACTTCATCCTCTTTTCCTATCCCTATGCAGCCATCTCTTCCTTTCACTAGAGCCCTTTCTACGCCACCAATGTCAATGGAAAAGATGGACATTTTTAAAGCTAGATTGGCTAGCCTTTTTGACATGTCTTCTACCATTCCAGCAACCAGTAACGAAACTGAGCCATTAGTTCTAGCTAACTCTCTTTTGAAAATTTTTGAGAGTTCTTCAACCATCAGTAGGGCTTCCTTACCTTCACTGGACTTGGGCATCTGTTTAGAGTTGCTGACATTATTCTCAAAGATCCCATTCGAAGCCTTGTAAAGACCTATTATCAAGAATGGTTTCCTCCAGTGCTGCAAGGTCAATGAGCAATCTAACATGGCTATTTCAAGTCACTTGTCTCAGGCAACAACTACCATAGATTTTTATGTCAACATCTGCCATGTTGCCAAAGCTGCAGATGAGAAATTGTTGAGAGACCAGGAATTTGTTTCCCATATACATGCCGAGGTGCCTGAATTGAAAGAACAACATTCTTCTGTTTCTCAATTTCGAACCCAATTTTTGGAGAAGAAAGCTCAATTAGAGGAAGAGTTATTAGCAGTTAACCTAGTTTTGGATCAAACTGCTACAAAACTGCAAATCACCAACCAAGGGCTGGCTGATCGAAGGCAGGAGATGACTACAGCCATGCAGTTGTTTCTATCCCTTAAGAGTAAAGAATCAATTGTAAGGGAACAACTAAAACATTGTACTGACTTTTGGGCCAATCTATGGCTGTATGCACTTAACTCCTTATGAAATGAAATCTTTATTTTTTATTTGAGTATTTTCATGCTTCTTTTGTTTAGCATTTTCTATACTCCTTGTGTTTCCCATATAGTTGGATAATAAGGTTTCAAGTACCTGCCATTAATTTTCTTAGGGTGTATATACTTATTCAAATGTCTCAAATGGTATGCTCCCCAAGGCAGGACTCTATGAACTTGATATGGTCCTTCCCAATTAGGTGACCATTTGCCAAACTTATGGCTTTTAATTCCTATTGGGAATATTGTCTTCTATACCAAATCACCTTCATCAAAGCTAATGTGCTTGACTTTCTTATTATAGTTTTTGGCTGCTTTCTTCTTTTGAAAAGAATGATATTTAATGCCAAAATTCTAATTTAATCCACATTTTCTAATTCCAAGAACATGCTCTAGTGGTACTGCTCAGGAGCTAACTGATTCTGACATCTCACCCTCAAGAACTTAATGTTAATTTCTACAGGTAACACTGCATCATGCCCATATACTAAGGCATAAGGAGTAACTCCTGTACTTGATCTTGGAGAAGTCCTATAAGCCTACAATACATCTAACAACAAGTTATGTCAATTCCTAGGATTGTCTTCTACAACTCTCTGTATTCCTTTTTTTCAAAGACTTATTGGATTATTCTGCCTAACCATTTGCTTGTGCATAATAAGAGGTGGAATTAACAACACTAATTCCAAACTCTGTCACAAAAGACTTTACCATCTTTTCATCAAATACAGTCCCATTATCCACTGTTATAGTTTGTGGGATGCCAAACCTGTGAATCAAATCTTTAATAAACCCAATAACTTCAGTTTGGTCTACAACCTTATATGGTTTAGCTTCAATCCACTTAGTGAAGTAGTTTGTGGCCACTAAGGTGAAACAATGGTGCTTCGAAGAGGGTGGATGTATTTTCCCTATCACATCCATGGCCCAACCTCTAAATGGCCAGGGCTTCACAACTGCTTACAAATAAGTTATTAGTACATGTCTTATCATGCCATGCTTTTGGCATGCCTGGCAACTTCTAGCATACTCCATGTAATCTTTTAAGGATGGTTGGCCAATAGTAACAATGCCTTTGAAGCAACCATCTCATCTTCACACCAGGCTGATGGGCACCACAAATGCATTCATGAACTTCAGTCATGGTTGTCAATGCTTCCTTTAACCATAGACATTCCAATAACAATCCATCTGCTCCCCTTTTGTAAAGAGCATTACCATACACTATGTATTGCATAGATTGTAATTTGATCTTTCTGTTGGCTTTTGAAGATAGGCCAGTTAGGTACTACATTATTGGATATCTCCAATCTTGATCTTGTAAGTCATTATGATTGACTTCTAACACCACGTTCCTTTTAGCTAAATGTGGTATTAATTTTTGATATGTTGCTTGACTTATGTTCATTTGAGTGTCATCTCTTCTCCTGAAATTTAAAACTTTCTGAGCTACATCATTGGCTTTGTTATTCATGAATCTTGGGATATAAGTCACGTTTGCTATCTGAAACTGAGAAAGCAAATGTAATGCAACAACATAGTATGGCAACATGCTTGCACTTTGACATTTGAAAATTCCTTTCACTTGGTTGACCACCAATTGAGAATCTCCAAATATATCAATCGCATGAGCTTGTAATCCAATAAGCATTTATAGTCCCATCATTAAAGCTTCATATTCATCTTGATTATTGAAACAAGTAGTTTCATCCACTTTAAAACCGTGTGTGGTTTCTATCATTTGTGGTGACTTAATTATAACACTAATTCCAATCAGACCATTGGCCTTTGACCCGTCGAACCACATCTGCCATGGCTCAGCATTGATCATACCAAGATCCATTATCTCTTGGCTTTCCGTTTGACATAGATGAGCTGCCAAAAAGGTTGTCAAAACTTATTCTTTTACTGCCTTTTGGGGGACATATTCTAGATGAAACTCTGACAAGACCAATATTCATTTGTCAATTCTTCCTCTCAACATTGGTTTAGATAATATATACTTAACCAAGTCTGTGGTTGCAATTACCAAAACAACATTAGGCAAAAGATAATATCTTAATTTCATTGTTGCAAAGTACAATGCAAGGTATAGTTTTTCTACAACTGACACTACAACAAGTTGGGCCTTAAATGACAAATTTTTTTTGTCTCCAAAGAGCTAATTTCGTCACTATAGATATTTGTGACGAAATATTTTCGTCACCAGTTTCGTCATTGAATGTTTGTCACTAAAAACCACCGTGACGAAAAATAATTTCGTCACCAATGAAATTAGTTCAGTGACGAAATTTTTTGTCACCAATAAAACAAGATTTTGTCGCTAAAAATTCTCATTTTCGTCATCAAATAATTATTCAGTACCATATTTATAATTTTAGTTGACGAATAAATTTGTCACAAATGTTGATCATTGATGAGGAAATAATTTCGTCACTGTAAGATGTAAAGGTGACGAAATTTTTCGTCTCCAAAAGTCATACATGGGTGACGAAATATATTTCGTCGCAAATGTATTTATATACATGACGAAATTTTTAGTCACCAAACAACAAAATCAATGAAAATTTTTTGTCACAAAAAATATTTATTAGCGACGAATAATTAATTTGTCATAATAACAAGTACAAATGACGAAAAAATTCGTCACTAAACTTGTTCCATATTTTATATTCTCGAATTTCAATTAGTAGCCTTTTAAATGTACTAAGAAATCCACTAGTTATTATACAACCACTCCACAAAAAAATTCACTTAAAATTTATATTATAAATCAAAAATATATCCATCAAACAAATTTAATAATAATCCATTAACTTATACAAAAAAAACCATCCACAAAAAAAAAAAAAAAAATCAACACTCGATCTCTGATTTGCAACTAAACTAAGTATCAGTTCAAGAAAAAAAAAATTCAACACTTGATCTTGATTTACAAGTATGCTTCCAAACATCATCAAAAACCAATCTGCAAAGAAAATAAACAAGAAAAGCATTAACATTGTATAGACCTCTCTATCCATGTCAATACAAATTGTGTACACAATGAGTCTAGCTTAAAAAACAGATAACATGATATAAAAGAAAACCCACAATATGCCACATTGAGTTTCTAAAGCAGTCAATTTAAGTACTCAAATATCCAAATGCAAAATCTTATGATTGAACGGACATATTTGGAAAAATATATATATGCCCTGAATACCAAAGTTGACACATCTAACAACTAAATTGGGATATTGAAAAAAGAATACATTGGGAAACAATAAATAATCTAGCTCACATTGCACTCGGTAAAAAAAATGTGATTAAATTCTGCAGAGGAACTTAATAATGTACTTATGGAGCTATGGATATAAGAAATGAACGATGCCAATAGAATTGATAGCCATATCTGACAATTCCAATGAATGCCCGAGACTAAAATGTAGTACTTATGGCATGTTAATGCAGTTCGTACTTTGTTTGATTTTCTCTTTACTTAACCATATACAAAGTCCAGAGAAGTTAAAGGAAGATACGCTAATTTAAGGGTGTAATATTCCAATTTTCATTAAATATATATATCCCATTGCCAAAAAGAGTGTTTTCTCTCTTATCAAATGTAGTGATAATTATAATTGATAATTCTCTATTATAAGCAGTAAATGGGCAGATATAGGGTCCTGATTACCAATTCACCATAAACTCATTTTTCCAATCTACTGTGTGGGTTGTCCAAGTTTGAGGATGTTTGTGATGGTAAACTCTGCTAACCATTTGTATACATTCCACATTGATGCAGAGAATAAAGAATGTTGTGGGTGATCAAAGAACAAAGGTGGGTATATAAACATAGGGATGGATATGTTATGAACACTGGATCAATCAATATTGCATGTTGTGTAAACTCTTAATTGATGGGTTCAATACTTTGTGCCACATCAAAGTCTATGTTAGCATCCTTAATTCATGGTATTTATGTTGTAAAATAATTTTATAAATTCCAAAAATCACGGTCCCTGATCATGATCTACAAGGACTTTAATAAACATTTCTTAGTTTGTGTCGGGAAAACTTAATCTACACAATCTTTTCTTAGGTTCATAACCATAAGTGCCAGAAACAATGTGATTATAGAATTACAGTGATTGTTTCTTTATAGTGTGGTTACCTGTTCAAAAGATCCTTGGCTGGCCCGATACCAGTTGCCATTAGAATCAATGTACGTAATTGGAGTGCATTTCTCCACTGGATTGAAATGAAGGAAATGCACTTCTGTGATGTTTGCACATGCCTGTAGACAAAAAGATTTTTCCCTTCTTGAATAACCTACAAGTGAAAAGAAAAGAAAGAAAAAAACTAGAAACTTAAGAGCAATATATTTTTCCTCTAACCTCCTTTGGATCAGCAAGCATGTTAACAATGACTGTATCAATGGCATCCTGATTCTCCATGTCTTTGTCCATATCTTTGTTAAAAATGTACAGAAGAAATTTATCATCAAGTATGTATTAGCTTAGGGAAATTGAGACTTGATGAAGTCAGCTTTCCATACCTCAATAAGGTTTCGATCGACAGTGAGGCGATTCAGGGTAAGAGTTCTAGTTTTATCACTACAGAGGACATCCATTCCAGCCATTTCTTCAATTGCTGTCATCCTCTTCGCAATGGCGCCCTTTAGGTAACAGAAGGAAAAAAAGGAAAAAATTAAAAGAATAAAGAGTTGTTATGTAGTTAGCATTGAAATTTGAGCTTAAGATTCTTCTGTTATGGCTCTTACATGAATTATTTTGAGTTTGTATTAATTATTTGTGTGTGACAAACAATGGTGCCTCAATTAGGAGCTGTACCTGTTGAGAGAGTCGATGAGAACCAATTGCGAGTGTGACAGATAATACTGTTGGCATAGCTATAGGTATTCCTCCAATCAATAGAACAAGAAGGTTGTTGATTCCATCTCTGTATGAACGGAGCTGTATGGGGTACATGACAATGATTTCTAGAATCATCCCCACAACTATAGAACAAATGCAGAAATTCCCAATGGCAGTAAGAACCTGCAGGAAAAACATTTTACATTTCTCACAATGTTTGCCAACAAGGTTTTGTTTGAAATTTTGATGGAAACTTCAATACTCTCATAACTTATTTATATTCAAGGAGTTTTAATTGTTAACAAGTTTCAGGTTGCCTTGTCCTGGTGTGAAATTTCTTGCATTTTACAGTCTTAAATTACTTATGGAACTCTACTCCATGTTGCAGTATTTCTAAGTTGCCATGTACAAGGCAAGAGGCATAGCTCAACAATGATAGATTTCTTAATCACCTTCTGGAAATGACCAATACTTTCAGTGGAATCAACTAGATGTGCAGCTTTTCCAAAGAAAGAGTGAACTCCAGTTGCTATCACTACAGCTTCAATCTCTCCTTGCTTACATGTTGAACCAGAAAAAACTTCATCACCTGTCCTCTTGGTGACAGGAAGTGATTCTCCAGTAAGAGCCGACTGCATAGAAAAAAAAAAGAAAAAAAAAATCAGATAGTCATTAACACTTAACTAATCGTATAAAATTTATTTAGAATAGACAAATAAATGTGAAAGGCTACATTGGTTTAGTTCCAATAAAATGTGAAAGGCTTGTATGTATGAGATAAAAATCGATTCTCATTTAGTACAGACATAAAGAAGATTCTCATAGGATCCATGATCATGTTGAAAAGTTTACAGCTTAGCATCTACATGACATGGTGAAAAAGAGGATCCTCATAACATTGGTGATCATGATGAACAGTTTGCAGCTACATCATATGGTCATGGTGTAAAAAACAACTAGAGTTGTTACCATCGCAACTCTTCAATCATGTATGCGCAACCAAGATAATAAAGATTAAAAAGAACACAATTGATGAAAAAGGAAAATGAATGAACATGTCCACCAAATTCTTCAAATAGTTTATAGCAAATCTAGTTCACTCTAGACTTGGGAAAAGCCTCGAATTCCCAAGTTCAAAAGCAACTAAAGATCCCTCATATCTTCTAGCTGACAAGAGCTTGCGTAAGGAAACAAAATTGCAGTTTCTGCACCAAAGCCTAATAAAATTAAGTCCGAACTATACCATTACTGATTAAAAAGAGAAAAAAACATCAGATTGTTAACTTCAATACAAGTAACCATTGGCAAATGACAGTAAAGTAAGAAATTCGAGTTCCCTATTATCTCATTAAGTAGCTGAATCCAAAA